CAGAGCCACAGGTCACTTATCTGGACGACAGTGTGCTTTATTCTTCTGAGTGATTACAAGCTGGAATACTAACGGCAGCCATGCAAACACATACTGCGGGTAAAATCAGTTTTGAACACGTCATCATTTTTCTCAGTAAATATATTACTAGAGGTGCTAATGACATGAAATTTTCACCAGATGTCGGTAACAACCCAAGTGATCCATACATACAAAGAAATCAAACCATAAATGTCCAGAAATGAAGTTATTTGTAATAATGTGGAATGGCACAGGGAAAAAGTATTGAACATACTTACTGAAATTTATCTAATACTTTGTACAAAAGCCTTTGTTGTCATTGACAGCTTCAAGACGCCTCCTGTATGGAGAAACTAGTGGCATGCATTGCTCAGGTGTGATTTTGGCCCATTCTTCCACACAAACAGTCTTCAAATCTTGAAGGTTTCGTGGACCTCTTCTATGAACTCTGATCTTTAGTTCTTTCCATAGATTTTCTGTTGGATTCAGGTCAGGTGATTGGCTGGGCCATTCCAGCAGCTTTAGTTTCTTTCTCTGAAACCAACTGAGAGTTTCCTTGGCTTTGTGTTTGGGCTCATTGTCTTGCTGAAATGTCCAGCCACGTTTCATCTTCATCATCCTGGTAGATGGAAGCAGATTTTTATCAAGAATGTCTCTGTACATTTTTCCACTCATCCTTCCTTCAATTATTTGAAGTTTGCCAGTACCATATGCTGAAAAACAGCCCCACACCATGATGTTCCCACCTCCAAACTTCACTGTTGGTATGGTGTTTTTGGGCTGATGTGCAGTGCCATTTGACCTCCAAACATGATGTGTATTCTGGCATCCAAACAGTTCAATGTTGGTCTCATCTGACCAGACTATATTCTCCCAGTATTACACAGGCTTGTTTAAATGTTGTGCAGCAAACTTTAAAGGAGCTTCAACATGCTGTTTCTTCAGCAGTGGAGTCTTGCGTGGTGAGCGTGCATACAGGCCATGGTGGTTCAGTGCATTACTTATTGTTTTCTTTGAAACAATCGTACCTGCTAATTCCAGGTCTTTCTGAAGCTCTCCACAAGTGGTCCTTGGCTCTTGGACAACTCTTCTGATAATTATTTTCACTCCTCTGTCAGAAATCTTGTGAGGAGCACCTGGTCGTGGTCGGTTTATGGTGAAATAATGTTCTTTCCACTTCTGAATTATGGCCCCAACAGTGCTCACTGGAACCTTCAGAAGTTTAGACATTCTTCTGTAACCGATGCCATCATTATGCTTTGCAACAATAAGGTTGTGAAGGTCTTGAGAGAGCTCTTTACTTTTACCCATCATCAGATGGTTCTTGTGTGATACCTGGCCATCATTTGGGACTGAACCAGCTGATATTAACTTGCACTGACAAGGGGCAGGCTTGTTTTCTAATTACTGAGAGAGTTCAGCTGGTGTCTTGGCTTTCCATGCCTTTTTACACCTCCCTTTCTTCATGTGTTCAATACTTTTCCCGTGCCATTCCACATTATTACAAATAACTTCATTTCTGGACATTTATGGTTTGATTTCTTTGTATGTATGGATCACTTGGGTTGTTACCAACATCTGGTGAAAATTTCATGTYATTAGCACCTCTAGTAATATATTTACTGAGARAAATGTTGACGTGTTCAATACTTATTTTACCTGCTGTATGTGTGCTTTGAGTGGCCACATGAAGATCCAAAGGACTGTTTTGTTTCAGCACAGGAAGCATGTAATCCACAGACTACATGCAGGAAATTCTAAGAGCAGAGAAGTGGATAAGAGCTGAATTTAAATGACTATTAAAAAAAATAAAGCAACTATATTAGCACATTTCCATGCTGGGTAGAAACCCCACTGTGTCTCAGCAAAATGCTAATGTGTCATATTAAGGCAGATTAAAAGCTACATTAGCATATTCCTGCTGTAGTACCGTAACAAACCTGTCACGTCTGCCGAGGTGACCTCCACATTTTAAAGAGCTCCGCTTCATTTCTCATCATTTCTAATTGTCTTCATTATAAATCAGCAGCTGTGACATGTGTAAGTAAAATAATTAAGAATCAATTAAATGTGTGAAGAATAACTGATGCGTATGTGTTGCTGGATTGTTAGTGTAAACATGTACCAACGTTGTTTTGGGGTTAAATCTACATGAAATGATTTATTATTTCTTTGTACCAAGAAACTCTGATCCATTTAAAGATTAAATGAGTCTGAAAGCAGGTTTCTTTCCTCAATGATGAGTCTAAATAAAATGGAAAAGTATTTTTATTAACTCAAACCTGGCTGCACTTCCTGCTATTTACAGGTTTCTTTGTTTTATTAGTGACACCTGCTGGCAGGAGGAGAACTGCAGCAGCATCAGTATAAATACAACTAAAAACAAAATCTGCAAAAAACTTCTTCTTTTTTTCTATAAAACATAAAGTACAAATCTGTTTTTAAGCTCTTTCACAAGAAAAATATCATAAATATAAGTTTATAAAATGTGCCAATCATAGTATTTTATTTTTAATTTACATTTTACACAACATCCCAAGTTTTTCATAATTAGGGTTGCTAATGTTGCATTAACCTTTTTTATGTAGTGTTTGTTAACTGTAAGGTTTTATGAAATTGTATTTTAAAACTAATATTTTATTTGTTGTTGTGTTTCCTCCCTGTATTTGTTACATGTATGTAAATGTATGTTTTGTTTTGTTTTATTATTTTAATTGTTAGAAATAAAATTATGAAAAACAACTACTTTAAATAATAAACATTATATGCAAAGTCTATGTTTTAAGTCAAACAATACAAAGACTTGAAACATTTCTTCCTCAAAGCTGAAATATAAACGTCCAGGTTTTAATTAATGGGACACTCCTCAGCCCTTTGAGCCCTGTCAGTGTTAAATAACATGTTTCTAGTGTTTTTTGTCCTATTTGGAGTGTCTTTCCTATTTGTTTGGTTAAATTATGGTAGATCTTCCGGTTTTGTCGAGCAGAGCACTGCAGTCAGAAAAGCAGAAGAACAGTACCCTCTCCTGGCCTGAACAGAGAGGTGAGATTTTACCGTCAGCAGCAGATATCTGTGCTTGCAAACACAAATGGTTCTGATCTGATTTAAGCGAGTTTGTGAGCAACAACATCCTGCAATGTCCAGTTTAAACCACTGAGGATAAAGAAACACAACAAATAGATTATGCTCTAGTTTAACAGCTGACAGGTGGTGAAATAAAATCATTTCCAGCTACACTTTTTGTCATCAATTCTATTAAAAGGCATCAGTGGCTTATGCTAAAATATATACAGTGAAAATAAACAGTCCTGAAGCACGATTAGTTTGCTAACTAGAGGCGGCCAATTAACAGTTAGGAAGTGTTGAAGACAAAAATGTGTCTGTGTTAAATCTGACTCGTAAAACATAAAAAAATATGAAAATACTAAAATCAACAATACATTTGATGCAGTGGAGGAATCTGCAGAGGGGTTCTGTGACAGAGGAGGATGCTGGGACATGGTGACAAGAAGGCGCATGTTCTGCTGTTTGTTTTAAACAAGGAACTAAAGACTTTACAGAATTTGAACGCAATCACATTTGTTGTTAATCTTATGTTTGCTTTTAAATAAATAACTAGTAAAGCAAAGAACAGCAGTAAAATGTTCATCCAAACAGCAGTTTTCACCAGTTTCTGATAGAAAAACATAAAACTATAAATGGTAGACTGCAGCTTTTACTTCAGACATACTGTATCATGAAATAGGACCCACTTTTACTGACCAATGTGACTGGACTATATATCCACTGACATAAGCATAGGCTTTATATACTTAGCACAAAATATAAGGAAATGAGTGTTTTGTAGATTGTTTCTCTGTTGTAACAAGGCTGTTTTGTAACAAATCATGATCAGCACTGGACTGGCAGCACCTGGGGGTGCCAGAAGCTCGAAACATAAGTCATTAGCAACAGCTAAATAAACTGCCAGAGAAGATTTGGCATATTTTTCATGTGTACAACCCACAAATGCATGTTCCTTACAAATACGCACCATTTAAAAGAGAAATTAGCTGTTTTTCCAACAATATACGATTTGTTGCCAAGAAGCATTGTTACACCAAAGAAATCCTCTACCTAAACACAAATTTTTTGCAGCTTATGGATAAGGCTCATAAAAAATGTTGCCTTTAAACATCTAATTATATTTTGTTAAGAGAGAAAGTTCTTATAATCTTAAAGGACTTGAGATGTTTGTGAAACCTAGAATTCGAACAAACTTGAAGGACCGATGTACTTCGGTTCAGGGAATAAGATTGTGGAATCATCTGGAAAGTGATTATAAAATGCCAATTCAATGTGTTTGTTTAAGAGAATGATAAAAATAAGTTTGTTAAAGAAATATGAAACTCTATAATGTATATCTAAGTTGTTGTTTGAGAATAAATTGAAGTTTTTATTTTGTTTTTGTTTGTTTGTTTTCCTTTTTCTTTTCCTAATTACTATTGCATTAAATTAATTATAGAAAAAAGGGGCAGAAATTATAAGATTTTTTCTTCTTTCTGCCTCCTTTCGTTTCAATTCGATTTATATATATTTTTTTTGTTGTGTATATATGTTGTATATATCTTTTGTTTTTAATTTGTATAAAATTTACGGTTTTAAATGAAATGAATAAACAATTTAAACTAAACTAAAACTAAAAAAATTTCCTTACTTTTTGTGCTAGGTTTGTTTGTATACTTATGGGCTATGATTGTATTTACTGTACTTTCATCCACAGCAGGGTTTTCATTTTAGATACAACTTCTTATATTTCCTCAGGCAAATACAGTGTAAATACACTGGAGTATATCAAATCACTGTTATAGCTTACAATAAACAAATAAAAAAAATGAAACGTTTTTTTTTTTACCTAAATGAGCAATTTCTTTCTCATGTAAACCCTCCGTCAGTGCACGAGATAAACTAAACCAATGCTTTTTCTGTGAGGACTTTACCTCTTCCTGGTCCAACATGTTGAATTGATGGCCGGAGCTCACACGAAGACGGGCGTTCCAGTGGTCGTGGGATGGACGTTCGTGCAAGGGGCGGTCGTAGATGGGACGCTCGTGCAAGGGGCGGCTGTAGGGAGGGCGGTCGAAAGAAGGGCGGTCGAAGGAGGGGCGGTCAACGGAAGGGCGGTCGAAGGAGGGGCGGTCGAAGGATGGACGTTCAAAGGATGGACGTTCAAAGGAAGGACGGGCAAAGGAAGGTTGCTCAAAGGAAGGACGGGCAAAGGAAGGTTGCTCAAAGGAAGGACGGGCAAAGGAAGGTTGCTCAAAGGAAGGACGGTTGTAGGAGGGACGATCGTAGGAGAGACGTTCCTGTGAGGGAGGGTGGTAGGCAGGAGCGTGGAAGGAGTGAACGTGGGAGCGATGATGGTGATGATGATAGGAGGGTGGGACGGCAAACCTTGCATCTGGAAAGGAGAGAAGGAGGAGAGAGGGGTAGGACAGGGAGCAATAGGGAGGAGAGAGGAGGGAAGACCAGGTTAGTCAGGATCTTAGGTAGGTGGGCCGTCACAGCGGGATATGTTTCTGTGTCAGGGGGTGTTTGGAAAAGTAAAACAATCAAACATTTGAAAAAATTCATGCTGGGAAGTATCTTTGACAGAGTGTAAAGTTTTTATAACAATAAGAGACTATCTCAAAACTGTTTATCAAAGTCAGGAACACAACTACAAAAAAATGAAACAAGAAAGCCAAGATGCACTCAGAACCCAACATTGAGGCATAAAACCATGAAAAACAGAAGACAAACAGAACTAGACATGGGTTTTTATGATGTAAAAACAAATGTGCATTGCCATGTAGCATGTCATTGCATCATGGCTTTGCCTGGAGCATTGGACTTGCAGAATGAACTTTGACCAAGTTCAAATGTGTTTTCTATACCAGCTTGTGCCTGTCACATCAGCAGGTGTTTGTAATTAAGGTAATTGTGTGACAATATGAAATTTGAAGAAATTTTTTTGTTAAAGTTGCATTAGCTAGGTCTTGAACCCTGATCTCCCACATGAAAGTCCATGACATAGACCATTAGACCAATGGAGCTGTGGCAGAAGATGGTGGCAGGGGTTGGTTTGTATGTGTGCAGAAAGAAGCCACATTGCCAATACAATTATTGACACAAAAATGCATAATATTACAACAATCGAGCAGTATTAAGACAATATTATAGTAAAACATCAAAATACAATCATATTAGTACTGTGAACAATGAACTACTGAGTTAAAATATTAAACTATGGTGCAGTACCAAGTTGAGTACAGCATGGGGCAGTATTGGACCAATACAAGGCTCCATTGACTGCCATTATAATTCATTAAATATTAATATTTCATAAACTATACGTTTTACAGGCACCAAAAGGCATAGCCATCATTTAGCACAGGAGCTTTACAGATATAAATTACAATGGTAGCTCTAAGACAAAGTATGCAGGAGGAGAAGCATGGCAAAGTTGAGATGACWTGKRTRGGAAACGAATCACAATAGTGTGCATTGCATTGGCAATGCAGACTGAATATTACAAAACCCATGAAGCACAACAGGAAAAACCAACAGGCACTGTCTAATGTGGACCTGTCCTGGTTAACTTTTCATCTTCCTGTTAACCTGGTAAAAACCACGCTTTGCTTCGTACAGGGGGTCTGGACTCTCTGCTATTGGGAAATGGTTTCTTGACAGAGGCGTGGTCTCTGTTGAAGTTTAAAACGATTGGGTCTGATTTACCCAATTGCCAACGTTTGGCTGTGACGTATGTAGTGCACCAGCTCAACCATTAGGGAAGCTAAGCTAAGAAGCTAACTGGAAATTACGTGTGCTTTTTTGTGTGTCAAATTTAATTTAAATCAAATCAATTTTAAAACTGGGAGCCTTGTCAACACGAAAAAAAAAACAACTAAAACTCCTCCTTCTGTTCGCTGATTGGCGCAGTTGAAATTGTACTGAAGAAATCTTCATCTATGGGAGAAATCCTAGACGGAGCAGAGGAGGGAAACTAGAATTGAGCGGAACTGCGTGGGAAGGCAAGGATCAGGCTAACGTTACAGAGACAAAAATTAAAAAGCTGGATTTACTCAAATTTTAACTAGGACAGGATCTGACGGCCAATCAAAACCAAACATAATTGGGTTAATTTACATTATTGTATCAGAGAGTTATGGGTTTACTTTAACTGGGTTTAACTCGGCTTTGTTTGGTCAGATATAATAAAATTACACAATGAAATAAATAGAATCACATCGGGGTTCACTTTTCTGTCAATAAAATTGACCCTTTAAAATCAAAACTTAAGAGAAATCCTTTTGCTTTTTCTTTCTTCTCCACGGCCCTCATACTTTGTTGTATTTCAAACTTATGTAAAGAAGGACGATATCTTCCTATCGGGCATCCGTTGCCAACTGATTCAATTTGTTTAATCTAATTTATCAAATTTCAAACCAAATGCTGAAGAAAAACCCTTTTCAGAAAAATCTCTGCAGTGTGCGAGTTAATCAAAGCGCATTTCCCCCGAGGCTCGCTCCTCTATCGCCAACAAAAAGCCTAATTTACGCTTACAACATCTGGAGGGCTGTGCTGCACACATCCTCATATACTCCCAGACAAGAAGAGATAAAGCTGACCCAGTGGCAGACTGATGACACTTTATGCCCCGGAAGTGTCCACTAACTCCCCGTGCACAGCCCTGTTTTATTTTTTATTTTTGATAAAGGAAATGGATGATAGAAATGACTGCATACGGCTCTGCATCCTCCCTTCATGAATCTGAAGCAAAGCTTGAGGCTGGCAGAGCATCACGACATGTACAGCATGTCACAGCGGATTATATTTCTGCATCATCATTTCACATATTCTCCCCCACGCCTGATGCTTCACAGTATACGGCTTCCACAGGAGCGGGAACGCAACGAGAGGCGGCGGTGGCAGAGAGAATAAATCTGTTGCTGTTTTAGGTTTCTGGATTAATTATGAATCGAGCTCTGGAGACACTGTTGTTCTCATAAACAAATAATATGAACAAATAAAAAGAGACAAATCAAACAGAGTGGTCATAATGTATTCATGTCACAATGATGAAGAGAAGCTTTAACTTAGCATCAACATTTAAAGTTGCACTTACACAAACAGATTAAAAAACTAGATTTGGTCAGACAGAAGCCTGAGGGCGGGAATATGAGCCAGTGTGACGTCGCTGCATTAAAGGCTCGCAACAAAAAGCTCTGCTGAGCCTTCGTTTCTGTTCAACTTTCAAAAATACGATTATTTATAGAAAATAAAAGAAAGGAAATGTGGTGCATGTATAATCTGTAATGTGGTGCATGTATAATCTGTAATGTGGAGTATGTATAATCTGTAATGTGGAGTATGTATAATCTGTAATGTGGAGTATGTATAATCTGTAATGTGG